GTTGTTTTTATAGTTACAGTTATTCTTTGCTTTATTTTTTGTTATATTTTCCTACATTGATAATAAAAAATGTAAAGACGTACAGAGACACAGAAGTAAAAACGCAGTGAAAATGATTAAGGAGCGTGAAATAAAAAAAAAAAACAAATTGTGTTTGTTTTTTCTATGATTAAAAGACACTTATGAAATAATGTTGCCACATTTTTTGTTGTTTTTGGCCGTGTTAAAGTACACATCTTTTCGTTAAAATTGCTATTACCATAAGAAAAACACAAATTAATAAAAAAATAAGTGAAAAGTTGATCTTTTTATGACAGTCGTAAGTGAAAAATATAAGTGATTAAAATTTTTAGTGTTATTTGAAAGAATATTATAAATAATATTTTTTAATAATTATATAATTATTTTTACTTGTGTTTTATATATATTATAAAAAATTTAATGAATAAGTTTTTAAGTTTATAATGTTTTAAAAATAAATTAAGAAGATTTGAAATTGCACAAAGTAATCAAAATAATTTAATAAAATAATTACTATCTGCAACAAAAATACAAAATCAGGTAAGTTTTATTAAAATTTTTTTTTTATTTATTACATATGGAGTTAAGTCGATATTTAGCTTCAAGCAAATTTAACATATATTTAAAAAAATTGATATCATTATAATTTCTTTTATGAAGAAAATACGAAAATAAAAATGGTGTTAAAACACCAAATTATAAAATAATTAAGAATTAAAATATATATTTTTTATATATAAATTCAGAAATATTAACCTACATATATGATTATTTATTGTTAACATTAATTATGAATTAAAAAAAAAAATTATTTAAGACCCAAATTAATTAATTAATATTAATTAATAACAAAATGAAATGAAATTTTGAAATGAATCTAAGAAATATTGATATTAATTAATAACAAAATAATTTTCTTTGCTATTATCAAATATATCTAAAAAATATTAATATTTATTAATAACAAAATTATTCTTTTTTTGTAAAATTTTAATTTATTCATAGTAATTTTCTATACTGATAAGGGGTAAATGAAAAACTAAAAAAAAAATTTTAATTAAAACTACATATGTATACTAATAGGGATTAATAAAAAATAGGGAATAATAAAAAAAAAAAAGTGTAAATTAAAATTATATTTTATTGTATATAAGTAGTTTTTTAGTAATCTCTGATTTTTTATTTGTCATATGCAAATTGAAAAATTAGCTGTAATAAGTAATGCTAACTCCATGGGTTAACGTTTTCTTTTCGGAATCACAAACTGGATAACGGTGAGTTATCTGTATGTTTTAAAAGGCATTCACTTATGCGTAGAATTATAGGTTGAATGAAAACAATAGGAAAAACTTGTATTACTGTTGCTACGATTATTAGTTTTGATTTTGGTAGAAAAAAGTTATTCATGCTCTCTCATTCAAAGTTCATTCATTTTACATCTCTTTTACATCTCTGTTTACATCTCTTTTACTATGTTTTCATACATTATACAAACAGTAGTAAAATTGATGCGATTATTAACTAAATGAATGGATTTCAAATGAGTGAATGAATATGTGTAATGCAATATATTAATGTATAAGATATTTGCTATTTTGAACAAATTTTTTGGATTTTCTGTATATTTCTAAATACATAGGTTCCATAACAAAAATTTCATTGAACCTTAAAACTCAGTTATCCAGTAATATGAATATTGTAATATTGAATAGGTATTAGATCTTCTGGCCTTAACTCTAGGAGTACGTCAACTCTTTCTGTATTGTATACCTTTGCCATACTTCATTTGCAGTTACCATAGTTTCATACATAATGTATTACACATTCAGATAATTTATTTAAATAATTGATTTAATACATCAAAACTTTTTTTATAATTTGGTTTTTTCATTTAACTTACTTGAGTGAAAAGTTTACTGTCCATATTGCGTTTATTACGAAAATAGCCATCTTGTTTTTTGGGGTTATTTGAAGGATTACCGTAGAAATAACAACAGAAGAAAAAAGAAAATATTGATATACGACTGAAAAACGAAAATAATAAAAATCAATCAGTTTTTTCCACATATTCACGATATTCACGTGGCGTTTTGCCAAAAGGATTAGCTTTTCAGCTGGTTTACATGACAAGGCCCGCATATGGCGCATTTATATGAACAAGGCATTTGAAGGTTTACAAATTCTGTTGTAAACTTATTTGAAACCCAAACGTTGAAACTTTCCAAAGTGACATAGAAAAAGGCGTACAAAATAATCCACGATTTGATAAAATAGAAAAATAAACTTTGGGCGCCAAATTTATACGATTGTAAGTACCGAAAGTGCTTAAAATGGCGAAAGGATTTCGAAGCCTTATTTTTATTTTTACTTTACGACAGTTTGAGTTTTCTTGAAATATTTTGTTAAACTACAAGTATTGTTGTTGCTACTGTTGGGCTTCGGGAACTTATGTAGTTTAACTTTTTATTACAATATTTTTTAGGGAAGAATATCGAGAGGTTAAAACTTGACAAAGCTTTTGTAACATTTGTTGACTCCAAAGACAGAATCTTGTTACAAGAATGCATAAATTTATTGGATTTCGTGTAACTTTTGAGTAATGGCAAAACTATTGACTACGTTAAATAATTTCTTTTTAATTCTGCGACAGTTAATGTTCCTTTTAATATTAAAGTTTTAGTTTAAACATATTTTTATGGAACAAATTAACAAAGTATTATTATTATTACTATATTTTTGGTTTATTGGCATTAAATGTTATATTTAATTACAAGAATTTATAAATCTCGTACAGACGTTTGATAAAGGCTATAAAATTCTAATTAATATTGTCTGTGACATGAACAACAACAATAGCATTCGAATAAAAACAAAAATTACATAGAACTGAAACACCCAACTTTTTACTTGTATTAATTGGAATAATGCAAGTCAATAGTTTGTTCTGAATCCTCTTTAAACTAGTACCGGACGACAAATAAATACTATAATATTCGTAGACGATGTATACCTGATATGTAAAAATTATAAGGGCATTTAAGGACTTCTCTGAATAGTTTGGTATATTCTATAAAAGAAATTTCTCTAATATCCTTCATAATATTAGCAGAAACTATATAAGTGCTTATCTATTAAGCCATAAAAGTGGAACGTAGAGCACTAATCAGTATTTACATACCTAGAAGTAAGAAGATTACAACAAGATTGTAATAACAGTAAATTTGCACGAGTGTACGGATGAATCAGAGAGGTGGTATGGAGAAATAAATGCATAATAACTACAATAAATACTCTTTTACAAGAGGATATTCATTGCAGATATAAGTTTCAATATAGAGACAGATATTGATTTAGTTCGTAAAATCTCAGTCTTTAAATAAAAATTTGAAATTGTTTGGAAAAATTACTTTTTTTGTTTTGTATTTTGATTCTTATCAGCTTACAGACCCGAACAATTAAACGCATTTATTTAAAAATGTTGGCAAATATTTCGTTCTTTATTAAGAACTTCATCAGTGCTATATAATAACAAACATTAATTTCAAGATAAAATACTAATGTTTGTTATTATATAGCACTGATAAAGTTCTTAATAAAGAACGAAATATTTGCCAACATTTTTAAATAAATGCGTTTAATTGTTCGGGTCTGTAAGCTGATAAGAATCAAAATACAAAACAAAAAAATTTAAACAGACGATAAACAACATCATATCAATATGGAAAAATTACTACCAATAAGAAAGCTTTTTTTTATGCTAAATTAGTGTAATATTTTGAGAGCGAATAAAAAGTACTGAAAATGAAGTCCAGAAGAATAATAAAGTTAATTATACTTAAATTAAACTCTCTATAGTAAGTTATGTTTCTATAACCTTTGATTGGCACTTGGATTATTCAACAAATTAATTAAGTTGAAGAGGGAATGCATAAACAAGATGACAATGATTAATATATTTTCTGCTGTAGCAAAGTAAAGATAAAGTAAAATTAGTGCAAAAATTCTTCATGGCAGTGCCAATATAACGCATCGGCTAATAAGTCAATAAGACATGTAGCGGCCCCTGGCCATCCTACGGATTTACCAGCTGATGTTTTACAAGGTATTTCAGAAGTTTAGATTACCTGCAGAGAAGTCGTTTCACCATTGTGTACTTAATACTTGTATTAAGATAATGTGGAGATGAAGGTTAGATTGGAAGCATTTTGAAGTTACTAGTTAAAGTGATTGCTTTGGGTTATAGCACTCAGGTGTTGAATGTTATTTTGCATCTAATAAGTGTAAATGAATACTGTGACACCCGTGCACATTTGGGTCGTAGCCACAGACATCATCATATTCCCTTTAAAGACCTAGTCTTATTGAATATATTAAAAGATAGGTAAGAAGATGGCAGCAGCTATCAAGCTTTTCCTGTGGCCCTTTTTGTAGTAAAGTCCTAAAGCATGTAATAACCTCTTTATTGATTCCAATGATTTATTGATTGAACAGGCAACCATATAGAAAATTTTTTTAAAATAGTCTTTAATCTTTGAGGTGGAATACTATATTGCACTCAGAAAAATATGTCCTAACAACATACTAGTGAAATAGACCTGATCATTTTGTTAGACAAATTTTAATCATGTGGTACAGAAGATACGAAAACAAACATGTGGTATGGTTGAATCAACATGATGCGTAGAGTAAGAATATTTTGACCTGAGATTTAATTAAAATTAAATTATTATTAAAATTATTATTAATCTGAGTGTGCATATTTAACACTATTTTTTCTGATTTCGATAACAGAGGTTTAAATAGAGAAATTGATAAATAACAAAAATTTATTAAATTTTTATTTGAATTTTTTTATAATAGTAATTTATTGAAAGATGTTTAAGTAATATAACTGATAAATAATAAAAAAAAATAGTAGTCTGAGTTTTAATCTACCAAGAAAAATTCGCAAAGAACTAAAGCCAGGTTCATACCGCTCTTTAACCTTGGTTTGATTCAGGTTTATGTTTCATGATCTTTTCCTATTAAAGATTATTTATTATTTATTCTTATTAAACTATGTTGACAAACGCATTCGAATGTTTTTTATTGTAATTTTAGGGCATGTAGAATAAACATTTTATACAGCGTTTTAAAATTCTAAACATCACTCACTCGTTTCATCAAATATCTAGAGCATCTAATAAATCTCTCTCGTGGAATCGATCTATTCCCAAAACTATTTTTTAAGCGGTTCTAGGATTTCCGTTATGTGGGCTTGTAGCTTCATTTTTAAACCAACCAGCCAACTTTACAAAACATTGTTCAGGAGCACATTACATAATATATATACAATTTTAGTATAGGTTATTATGAGATGTCAAAATTCATCTGGCAATATTTGGTATTGCTTAGGAGTAAGATTTAAAAGGCCTACGTTTGAAGTTTTTATTGCATAAAATTAAATCATTGAACGATGTTGAACTTATTCTATTGTTAAAGAACTCAACAGGATGTCAATTTTGAAATGTATATATATTATAAAATTTTTTAAAAAAATGAACATTTAAGTTAAATATTTAAATTATATTATATAAATTTTATCTTTAAAAAATTAATACATTAAATTGTCAAATTCTTACCTACAGACTCCGAGTTTTTTTTTCGATATATAAGAAAACATGTCGAACATGTAAGCATCTGGTGAAAATAAAATAAACTCTGATATAAATATACATAGTGTTTCTTCTATATAAACTCATACGTTTATATATTTCATATAAAGGAATGTATTTTGTTAAAAATAAGTGAAACACGTGGAAAACTCTTTGCTGCTTCAGTTATTTTATGTATGAAGACGGAACGCGTTTTCCAATTCACCTGACAAATTATTTTGCGAAATCCACGCATTTGTGATGTCAATGATGGCAAAGACGTGACACAAATCACAAATGACTCTGCAGGTTGCTCAGGCGCAACCTCCAACAATATTGGTAATATGATAATAAAACAGCAACTAGAAAAACACAATTGCAAAGATATTCAAAAGGAAAAAAAATTGTATTCGTTAAGCGTTAAGAGGTTCAGCATTTCAGAATTTCAGCATTTCGGTATTTCAGCAGCACAAGGACAATTTCACAAAGATAACTGCTATTGTATCGGTTGCGTTAGCGTGAACTTTTTGAAAATTCACAGCCTTGTCAATTTTGAGTGCGCTTTGGTAATGGTAATTGGATTCACCGATGTCGTTAAACAACAACTAATCTGAAACTAACATTCCGGTTACAGTTAAACCATTCAAAAAGCAACTACATATGCAAATATAAGTATCCTTTCGAGATGTGCCTCAACCATGCGAACATTTACCTTAATTTTTATGCAAAATGGTTAAACGAAAATTTTGATTTTAATGTCATTTTGACCTTTTATGGTACGATAGTCTATATGGTTCAATGATTTGATTTCTACTGATAAATGACTGAAGAATTTGAGCACGCAGCATATAAATCAGTATGCAGACGAAAATGTAGAAGTTCGTGACTTTTGTGTTGCTATTTACTTCAATTGTAAAAGATATAACATCATTTTATAACCATTTTAGACAGTTTTGATTATTGTCCATTTTATGTTACATCCAAAGGGTATCATGACAGTGTAAGTCAATTTAATTAATAGTTGTGAAACTCTCTACCAATGTCAAACTTTCATTATAAATGTAATTGTTGAATATACATATTAGGCCACTGACAGGAGCGTATATGGAGACTCATTTGAAGGGGGGTTTTTGAAAACTTTTTAAAGTTTATAACAAAAAAATTATTTAGGCTACTGGCAGGGATACTTACAGGGCCTCATTTAAGGGTGGATTTTTAAAAACGATTTCAAAGTACATATGAAAATAATTTATTTGGAAAATTCTTTATATTAAGTGTAAAAATTTATACTAAGGGGGTTTAGAACCCAAAAATACTTACTTATGTACGCGATTAGTTACTGGCATTAAAAACATGTTTAGTTTTGATAGTTTCTTTAGAATATAAGCATTTAAAATATAATATTACAATATTGTGGCACGAAAGTAAGTTATCACATGTCTTCTTTATCCATTTCATGATTTGATCATGTATTCATGTATATGTTATTCATGTATAATAATATTTAGTAAAAATTGTTTTGATATCAATACATTTATTATCTACGATCCTAATATGATAGTTAAATGATAGAAATATTATTTAATTTTCACCATATATTACCGGCATCTTTTTTAAATCAACTATAATCTAAATAATCTATTTGTTGAATGACTATTTTGGATTTATTTTTTATACAATGCCTTATGCTAATATGAGTTAATTTTGGATAAATCGAGCTTTATGATTCCAAAATTTGGTCACATTGTCGTTTGAATAATTAATTTAGAAGACAGTTGTAAAGTGATTCTTATCTCTATTTAATTTAATAAAAATAAGTAATAAAAACATAAACCCAGACTGTGTATTAATCGATAATTCCACTCACTGAAAAACGCAAAGTTTTATGTAATAATATGAAACTTATAAAACTTAGGTAAAAGTTTATAGAGAAATTTTACAAAAAACTTTAATAATTTTTAAACTTTTTATACTGGTATCATCTTTTGATTATTTTGTACGACTAGTTAATAGGAATTACTTAAATTTAAATACAACAGCCAGGTCCAACGCTTCGGATTTACCTGTTGTCCACGTACTTATAATCTAGAACTTGAGATATATTCCAAAAAATCGAAATGGATATCTATATTTTATTTATTTGTAGGTTTGAATATATTTTCTAAGTGAGTTAGACTAATTCGTGACTTGGTTCTGGACAGTCTGATCTTTTTAGGCAAGAGTGTTTTACTGTAAATTCTGGTTAATGGTTTCGTATACTCATATAGCCTTATTTTGTTCTAAGTATTTCGAACTTAGGTTTTCCGTTGTTACCTGTTACACATGAGCACAGATCTCTTCAATTCGTTTAACGATATCTCTAATTTTCAAATCAAAGGAAAGCTTGTATGTTTTCGAAAAAGGCCTTCAAGATAATTAAGAGGGGCAGATTACATAGTCTTTCACTTGTTTTACCTACCAACTATAACACTATTTAAAAACTTGAACTACTATAACGTGACATTAATTGTTAGAGTAATGACAAATAAAGAATTCCTTTCATACAACTTGCAGTCTAACAAAGAACACAGAATGTTCTCATAAGTTCTCATAATTCATAATAATACCTATATGTCTCTTTTCAAAGTCATTGTTAGAGGTGCAGAAAAAGTTGTTTATTTTCTTATCTAGAACTAATTCAACTATGTTCAAGACGGGTTATTTTTTTACTGAACCTTTTTCTCTATTTGAATCAACTTAACTTCTCTATAAACTTTAAACTTGTCTTTATTTTAACAGATCGGAAAGACTATACTGTTATCGTTGTTGAAAAATTGGTTTTTTCTCTACTTGAATCAATATATCTCTGCTGTTATCTCTATATTTTTCCTTATTTGGACAGGTCTGAAAATCTATCTTAAATCTAAATCTTTAACAGAAAATTTATAATAAGTAATTAATTATTTAAAAACAAATGAAACAGGAAACTGATATATAACCAAATAATTTGTCCGTCACTTCTATATGGTTGTGTAGCGTTTAGCAAAGCTTCAAACACTACTATTCACCAATTAGAAATTGCACAACGTCAGGCTCTAAGAAGACTTTTCAAAGTTCCTTGGTATATTAGGACGAATGACATCCTTAGGGACCTCAAGATTGATCCCATCAAAAAATACATAAAAGATAGAGCCTTGAAATTATTTGCGAAATCTGACAGACTTACTAACACCGCGTTATCAAATCTCAGAATTGTTACAGGCTCCTCGGGGAGGTATGCAGATCTGAGATCAATTATTACTTAGTCTGATGATGAGATAAATAATAATCCAGTCAAGGCACAAAGAGGGGTTTTGAAGAAACCTCGCAGTTAATATAGAGTAAAAGTGCTCAGGTGCACTAACTCAACTTTCCTCAACATAATAATAATAATAAAATTTATTATAAAAATAATCAGAATATATAAAATATTATTATATATTAAATTATAAAATTAAAAATTACATTGTGTTAAAAATAATAATGTCATTTATTAGTTATAATATGTCATTTCTTCGATGAGGTTTAAGCAAGATGGTTAATTTGTTTCTAAAAGAAACGAGAACGATAATGCATACTAGCAATTATTTTGCGATGAGAATAGAAGGGACAATGACATTGACGTGGTACAATACGGTGAGGTGCAATATTATATGAGATTCGGTAACGGTCTAAGCAAGGCAACATAAATAAAAATTCTGCGGTACCTTAGAGTTTTGTAATTTCACTGCTTGAATCAATTTAGAAAATATTTATATTTTATGTCTCAAATAATAACATAGTTCCATAAAAAAGTATTTAATATAAGACAGCCGTTTTTGCTTCAATTTATATAGTATATAATATAGTATATAAAATTATTATACACTTTAAAAAGTTTCACTTCTTCTCCTAACTGTTCTACAATATTCTTCTCAATATTTTTTTTTAAATCTTTATAATCTGCGCCTTTTCAATTGCTTACTCTCTACGCTTGAGTTTTTCTATGTGAAATAGTTTTTTCAAGTTGATCATTGAATTTTATACTGGCAGCTCTTTTTATAAAACTGGTTCCTTTATACCGCTCGGTTAATTGTTACAAATGCAGTATTTTTGGAATACAATTTAATATCCTAAACAAATGCGGTACTATACCGGATCGATTTATTTTTTTTCATATACCGTAATTGTAATAAGTACTGTATATTGTAAATAGTGTACCCTACCGTGCCGCTTCTGTTTGGGCATAACTTAGGCTATAAATATAACTCATTCCCCTTTATTAGGGCCGGCACTACGTATGAGTAATTGTATTTTACTTGATGCGTAGTAGGTAATATGTAATGTTGTTTTTGTTTTTATTCTCTATGAAATATACAATACATATATTTTTTAGACACTTTCATTTTGTGGCTGTTAATTTTCTAAATTGATTTAAGATTCTCGTTAAAATTTTCCAAAGAAATATGCATGATAGACTTGTGTTTGTGGGTAATCAATCACATAAAATCAATTTGCATCTCAGTTAAAAGAAAATATATTTCTTATTTCCAAATTACATATATTTTTTGAAGGCTGTACAAACTTGAAGGTCAAAGCAACTTATCAAATTTTTTCCTAAAAAGGAGCATAATAGCCTTGAGTTATTAGATTTTTTATTATTATGCATAACATTCAAGGGTATACGTTTATATATTTTGTAAACACAAAAAAAAAATTTTTTATATTTATATTTAAAATTTTAAATTTCCGGCTCAATTTTTCTTAGATTAATTGCTAATGTAAAATTTAAATAAACATTTTCGTCCTTCTCTCAAATAAATTTCAATAAGAAAAGTCAATAGCGTGAACGCATGGCGGGAGACTTTTCCGTCTGCGTTAGGTTTTCACAAGCATGCATGACTCATACGCTGTGTACAACATAATTACATGAAGTCATTAAAAACGTTATAACGTACCAGAGGCGTTGCCTGAAGTATTTGTATATTCCTTGTTAATATTGTGATTAAAATGTCAGTTCCATGAACATGACTCAAATTAACCAACATAATCATGATGTGTGCAAATATTATTAGACTTTATTATTTTTCTTAATTCTGTATTTAAGTTTGTTCAATTTTGTACATGTTTGTGGCTTTCAATGGGGTTGAGAGCTTGTTGAGCAACCTAAACCCTTAATTTCTTTCTACTTCATTTTATGTTGAAGCATCCTTTGACATGAATTAACCAAAATTCTACAACGTACTTTATACAAGTTCTACTCCATTTGCGTTTTGCTTGTAAGTAAGGTCTTTTATGTTTTGAGATATTTTTCATATATATATTCGTAAACGATTTTTTTATTATTTCCTAATTGGATGTTTTGTTAAATTTTTTCAAATCAAATAAACTCTGTTTAAACTTCAATAAAACAAATAATTATACAATAAAAATATAAAAGAAATAAAAGAACACTGCAAGGCAAAGAAACGGCGCATTCCTCATAATCCTCACTGCAAACACGTAAATATTTTTGCGTACAAAAGAAATAGGTTTTTAGGAACATAATTCTTTGACAGTTTATTAGACTGCTCATCGATAAAGACGAAAGATCTAAAAATTATCTAAATTCGACGAGATAGATTCAGGCTATACTCTTTTAAATTATATAAATCGCTAATTGAGATTCATAGAATTCATCGGATGGTCTGCTATTGCAACCAACCAACAATGTGTAAGAGAAGATGATAATTTAGGGTATGTGCAAATATATATTTCGTAAAATATTTGTTAATCATAAACATTTCTATGTTCTTTAAACCATTGTAAATAAATGATATATGAAGTTTGTTGAGGTGTTTGCTGGCCACTATATATTATATAGTTTACTTATCCAACCTATGCTTCTTCAAGGTACATAAATCTTATCAAAGAGAGATGAAGCAGGACTGGGAATGTTTGAGAAAAAAATTATTCGCAATATCCTTGGTGCTCTGTGAGTACGCTATGACTGCTACTACATATTAAACTATTAGGTGTACTATATTACGATAGTAAAATCGTTCAGTGAATTATCATCCAGCATAATATTGTAAACCGGTGCCGAAAGATGTTTAGTTTGCAAACATAATGGTTTGCTAATGTGCAACCTAGCGCCAGTGTTTAAAATTAACGCAAAAAAACAATTGGTGCAATTTAAAGAGACACAGAGTGTGAAAAAAGAGTCTACACCAATGCAACTTTAACTTAAAAAGTGCTTAATATCATTAATATACGGTTAATGTCAGTATCTTATTTTCCGAAAAATAGGAGTTTAAAATAGGAGTATATTCTGTTTTTCAGATATTAAACCCTTTTTGCTAAAGCTGTTTTTATGACTTAACCGATAAAGTGTGATTCGATCTAAATTGATTCCAGATTTATCAATTGAAAAACCTATAAGATCTTTGTTGAAAAAAGAAGGTAATTTATTATCAATAGAGCCAATATAATACAAACATCAAAACTTATACATTGTCAAAGTTAATTTTAACTTTTGTTTAGTTTTACAAATGATTAAAATGTATATTTATACGAAAAATGAAATTTTTAATATCAATTTCTCAATTCCTTAAAATTAAACCAAACATTAACACAAACGCGCAATTTTTGTTTTACAAACCAGGATGTCTTAAAAAGATATTCACCAGAGAGTATCGGTAGTGGGAGCCTGTCATGTCGTGCATAAAATTTTTCCAATTGAATGTAATCCTAAAAAGGTTTTAATTATATATGGAGAGAAAAGAAGTTACATATTTTAAATTACCTTAAATGGACATGAGTGATTGAGGTTTATATAATTGTTCATTAGATCAAAAAATATAGTCACAAACTTTTCATTTTTGCGATTGGTAAAATATTTGCATATATTTAAAGTATAATTTATGCCAATTGGTGAATATCGATTAAACTTTTGTAAAAGTTCATAATTCGCCTTAAAAAAATAAAATATTTTACTGTTTATGGAAACAAAAAAGTATTATAATTTAGAATATACAGTCAAGTCATTAATGGTATCATGAAGCTTTAGTTTGAAAGAGAATTCTGATACATTCCGATTTATGGGTTTCAAGCGACAATACTCAAATTCACTTAAATTTTTATCCACACTCAAGCATTCAATTTTGGACATTCTGAAGAAAGAATATGACTAAAAGAAATAAATATATTTATTTATACAAATAAATACATATTATGAATATTTCTTACTTACCTTTCCTGCTAAAAGAAAAAGTAGCAGCAAAACTCTAACGAGTTGTATATAATTATTTCCATTGTCCCAGGAAGTCAACTTATTATGTTTGGTCTAAATTTACAATTTTTGAAATGATTGATTATACTTAAAAAAGTGTTATTTCTGTTTTTAAAAAGGGCTTAAATTTTTAAATCAAAAACTAATAAAGTGGGTTTTATTTTTTATTATTATAAAAATTATATATTAAAAATATTTTATTTAATATAGATAGTTATCTATATGTATATTATCCACGTTTTTACGTTTATTTAACTCTTTTCTCAGGGAGGAGTTGTAATAACAATAAGTCTTTTTTAAACACAGAAATAATAGATTCTAATAGAAATTCTTATTCTAATAGAAATGATAATAAAATAGTTTTTTTGAATAATTTTATTCTGGCTGTAGGTCCCTTCTTGTTAAATAATAAAACGTTTATTATTTGTTTATTAAACTCTATATTTCGACTGTCGTTGAGAGTCATCATCAGGATTACGATACGTCCTCCTCTTTGTTCTGTCGTCTATATTGTATAATATAGCACAATATAGACAATATTGTACAATATAGACGATAGACGAAAGAGGAGATCCCATGGTACTATAAAGATAAAATAATGCAAAATAAATTGTAGTCGTTAGATAAAAATATCAAACTC